TTATTTTAAATTAAGGATTAAACTTTTTATTCTAAAAACATATATCTATACTATATTATAAAGCATTTGACAAAAACTCTTAAAAACTATCTTTTATACATGAAGTACTACTTATTGATGTACATTACTCAAAAATTCAAAATTACAAGTAAATTGTATGTAAGTACAACTTATTAAGTTTTATGCTTGAATTCGTGTAACTAATTATAAATAAATATAACTAAATACAAGGTAAATTTCTCATTTTAAATATATAATTAAAATATAATTAGGATAATTATTGAGTTCTAACAGAATACTTAATTATTGTCTTTAAAAAAATTATATTATTAAACCAAAAATAAATTACTTCATTATTAAATATAAATTAAATTATAACTAGAAGGATACTCGCGCAATGCAGCGAGATACAACAAGATAATGTTTCGTTTTATTTTGTCTCTGTCGATATAATACGGTTTTATGTGACTCTAAGAAAGCGACAATGCTTATATTCATAAAAAATTGAAAAAATATATATCGATATTAGTATCAAATTAATTATTTAAATTTTTTTTATGTAATTTATATACCATGATTTAATTTAGGTTTAATAACAAAGTAATTTATTTTTGGTTTAATAATCTGTACTATATTATAAAGCATTTGACAAAAACTCTTAAAAACTATTTTTTATACATAAAGTACTGTTTATTAATGCATGTTACTTCAAACTTTAGATTACAAGTATATTGTACGTATGTACAACTTATTAAAGCTCCATTTATGAATTCGTGTAACAAACTGTAGATAAACATAATCAAATATAAGATAAACATCTTATTTTAAATATATAAAATCTAAAATATAATTAGGATAATCATTGAGTTATAACAGAATCTTTAATTATTATCATAATAAATATTATATTATTAAATCAAAAATAAATTTATTAAACTTAAATTAAATTATAATAAAAAATTAAATTAAAGAAATTATTTAAAAAAATGAGAACTTCTAAATAGTTGATTTGACAATACTATTGATATAATTTTTTCGAATTTTTATGATATTTTCAAATTTACATTTTATTAAAAAATAAAATCATTATTACTTTCTTAAAAACACATAAAATTGTATTATAACATCGACAGAGACACAAAATAAACAGAACATTAAAATCGAGATGTATCTCGCTGTATTGCACGAATACCCTTCTAGTATATTTTTTATAAGGATAATAATCAAGTATTCTGTTATTAAGTATAACTCAATGATTATCCTAATTATATTTAAAATTAGATGTTTATCCAATATTTGATTATGTTTATCTACAGTTAGTTAGACGAAATTCAAATATGGAGCTTTAATAAGTTGTACTTATGCATAATTTACTTGTAATATTAAATTTTAAGTAATATGCATCAATAAACAGTACTTCGTGTATAAAAAATCGTTCTTAATAGTTTTTGTCAAATACTTTATAATATAGTATAGATTTTTATAAGGATAATAATCAAGCATTTTGTTATTAAGTATAACTCAATGATTATTCTAATTATATTTTAGATATTTTATAGTTAAAATAAGATGTTTATCCAATATTTAATTATGTTTATCTACAGTTAGTCAAACGAAATAATAGAGGTTGTCTTTAAGAGTTTTAGCCAAATGCTTTATAAGATAGTATAGATAAAATTTTGAATTAAGAAAATTACATAGAAAAATAAGAACTTTTTATTTATTTTTTATTTTTTATGATATCTTCAAATTTGTATTTCATTAAAAGAACATTAATATTTGCTCAAAATCACATAAAATCTTATTATAAAATTGATAGAGACCAAAAAATTGAAACAAAAAATTAAAATCAAGATATATCTCGTTATATTATACGAGTATCTATTTATTTTATATAAATGCATAAAACATGCATATAAAGGCTATCTATTTTAAAAAGGACGTTCAAAAGTCGCTTAAAATCTGAATATGATCGATGAGATCGATTATTCCAATCAATTTTCTTTTAAAATTTATTTTAATAAAATGAAATTTTATTCCCTTCACATGTTTTTATTTCTTTTTTAATGTGAAATCATTGACGCAGACTCAACTTCAAACATCCACGCGTCGAACATCAATAATCATCATATTAATAAATAAAGAATGTATTACATTGGTGGTCCACGTAGTTTGCTTAAATTTTAGATTTGGTCCCTAGAGTAAATTATCTACACCAATATTTACTAATTTCTCAATTTCATAACATTTTTGGTTACTACACTTAATTCCGTCACGTAAGTTACAACTATTACAAGGGATTAATCAGTCTTTACACAAACTCAAACACCAAAACTGTAATTTGCTCTAAGTTTATTGTAATTCATTGATTTCACGTCATTTTAAAAAAAAACTATTAAAACTATTTTATATATTTATTCACAAATTAAATTTCTTAAATTAAAATACATATCAAATAAAAAATATATATATATTTATCTTAAAAAAACTATTATTGACTCGTCTTCTTAATTAATTCTTTTGTTACAAAAAAGTTTTATATAACCAATTACAAATCAAATTTTTAAAATTAAAATACATATCAAATAAAAAATATATATATATTTATCTTAAAAAAACTATTATTGACTCGTCTTCTTAATTAATTCTTTTGTTACAAAAAAGTTTTATATAACCAATTACAAATCAAATTTTTAAAATTAAAATACATATCAAATAAAAATCTTTATATTTATATGAAAACTATTAAATTAAGAAAATGACTTTTGCATTAAAAAATATAGTTTTTGAAAAATAAAAGAAATCAAGGAAAATTCATATATATTTTCGGTTCGATATTGAAACATGCAAACAAAATATTAAAAGTACAGATAAACGTGAGATTATTTATATATACTCAAATTACAAATAATTAAAGTAATAACCAATAAAAACACAAACAATAAGTTAAAATTAAAAAACAACAATTATAATCGGTGAATCACAATAAAATTAGAGCGAATAACAATTTTCAGTCCCTGTAGTTTATGTAAAGACTGATTAGTTTCTTATAATTAGGGGTGAGCATAGGCGGGTACCCGCCCTTTTTGACAGGAATCGGAACCGGAACCGGTTAGAGCGGTTCTTAAATTTTTGGAACCGGAACCGGAACCGCCGGGAACCGGTTCCGGTTCCGGGTACCCGCTTCCGGTTCCGGGTACCCGCTTCCGGTTCCGGGTACCCGCTTCCTAAAATATTAAAATTTTGTTATTTAGAAATAAAAAATAAAACGTTGCCAAAACACTAAATAAATAAGCAAGAATACAAATTATATATAATAATGGTTACAAATATTGTTTAACGATTTACAAACCATAATAGACTAATAGAAAATGTTCAAAGTTTAACGATTACATACTATAATGGAAAATTTTCATTCTATATGAAGAATTTAGATGAAGAATGAAGATGATGGTGTGCTTTCAAGATGTAAACCTAATATAAATTTGATATTAAAAAAAATTATTTAAAAATATCGGGTACCCGGCGGGAAAAATTGAGAACCGGAACCGGAACCATTCTCAATCAGTTCCGTATTTTAGGAACCGGAACCGGAACCGGCGGTTCTAAGGCAGTTTCGGTTCCATAGCCGGGTACCCGGTTCCGCTGCTCAACCCTACTTATAATGGTTGCTAACCGATGATGTTAACTCTAGGAACCTTGAGTGTTATGAAATTGAAAAGCTAGAGACTATCGGTGTAGATAGTTTGTTTTAAGAAATAAATCCAAAATTTAAACAAATTAGAGGAACCACCAATGTAATTCTTTTATAAATAAATAATACAAATTAAACATTTTTTCTAATTTTAATATTCTTTCAAACATAATTAATTAATTTAAGAGATCATATATCAAACACTTATTATGTAAACGTTAACTAACAAATTAAAATTCCCGATTTATATTTCTTAATTAATTATCGTTGATAAATCTCTTTTTCTTGGTAACTTTTTATTAGGTAAAAATATTTTCACTCACTTATCGAACAAGATAATTATTTTATGTGGGTAAAATTATGGATCACTCATGTTCAGGGGTCGATTACCAAACGTTACCTTACTGACGAATATAACAATGATCAAGAATCTTATGCGGTAAAAGCGAAAACAAAGACCAAGAGTCTTACCTGGTAAGTGAGGGCGACGATTTTTACCATGGTTAACGCTTACCGGGTGAATTGTTACATACGATACCGTTTTGGTGAAATAAAATATTTCCCAACAAGTAATGATGTTGCTGAATTTTATCGATAAATATTTACCCAGATAAGTGATAGTGTTGAATTTTATCTCTTTTATACATTATTTTTTTATATTAATATATAATAAATTACATAAATTAATAAAAATATAGAAACCATATAAAAATAATATTTTGAGTACAGTAAAATAAAAGTTTAATAAACATAAGATACGATAAATAAAATTTAATGAATGAATAAAATGTAAAAAAAAAGACCTATTTGATATTTTAGAAGAGAATTAAGTTTTATTTTGAGGTTATATTGGTAAAATATAAGTCTGTTCCATTTTGTTCCATCCTGTTCCATAGAACATAAAATTCATATCAAACATGGGACATGAATTCCTAACATGCTCTGTCCAATGTACCAAATGTACCATAAATATTTTATTAGATAAATGTTTGCATTTAAATATATAAAAACTCGAATTAAAAAGATTATTAATTTTCAATAAATTTTAATTGAAAATGGTTAAGAGTCTTTTAAGAAGGTCGACGAATGGTTGCAAGCTTCCAGAAATGTGGCCACGTTCTTCCCATCGCTTTCCTCCCATTTGCTTTCAAAATCTTCAACCGCTCGCTTTCTTTCAACTATATATATTCAATCGTCATTTCAACTGTCAATTTCATATCTTCATTTCAAACCCACATTTGTAAGTTGCTTTCCTTGATTTTACTTTTTCAAATGCTTTTGCATCTTTAACCAATTTGGATCTCTGAATGCGAACTTGTTCGTCTTTAGGGTTTGCGTTCATTGAAAGCATGTTTGTTACCGACCATTGGTATCGATGTTCAACGTAGATCGATGTAACTTGGATTAGATCCTCTTACTCTGATTGTTTCGATTCATGGTAAATGGGAGAAGCAGATCCAAACATATAGGACTGTAATACTTTTGGGGCTTCTTCGATCAAATTACCCTTTTTTTGTTTTGCTTATTGATGGCAAGTTTTCGTCTATCAAGGGTTTGATTAGTTATTTTTCACTTTTGATCATGAGATACTTTGAGTATCTGTTCGATCAAATGGACTTCTTTTACATTCTGAATTGAAAATAAACGAGTTTTTGTGTTCCTCATCCATGGAGTCGTGTGCTTATCCTTTTTAATTGTTCTTCTTATTTGCTTGAAATCTATAATCCATGGCTGGAAAACCAGTGTTACTGTATGAATCAATTGCTGAGTGAAACTATGTTCTTTTGAAGGACATTATTAAATTTTAATTCTTAGGCTTGGAGTGGCTGATGATGATTATATGGTCGTGCAGGTTTAACATCGGTTCAATATGGAATACGAAAACGGATACCAGCAACAAATCCCAAAATCGAAATATGAATGCCTTCTCTTTGGTACGCCTCTAATCTTCTAAAGGAGTTTTAGATGTTCCCTCTTTTGTGTGGCCATGATTGCAATTTGAACTAATCTTCAATAAACCTTCTTGTGTTCGATTTTCAGATGTTGATGATACCCTTTATCCTCTGAGCTCTGGATTGTCACCAGAATGCACCAAGAATATCATAGGTATTGCATATTTACGTGACCCTTTTTTGGTCATCTTGCATTTGTTAGATTGTATATATGAGAAACTTATGATCTCTGTTAACATGAATGTGTTTTTTTAGAGTATATGGTAAATAAGCTTGATATAGAGGCAAGCAAAGTTCCAGAAATGTGTGCTCAACTCTACAAGGATTATGGGACAACAATGGCTGGTCTTCGGGTATGATTAACGATCTCAAGTGCTTAACTATGACTGTTAAGAAATTGTGAAAAGGGTGTAATCAAACCAACTAATTGTTTCTATTTGCAGGCTCTTGGCTATAATTTTGACCATGACGACTACCACAGGTACCGAATCTTTCCATTCCCTTTTTATCTCTAATGAAGCTTGAAAATCTGATGTTATGATATCGTTGATCAACAGTTTTGTCCATGGAAGATTACCCTATGAGTATTTGAAACCCGACCCAATTCTCAGAAGTCTTTTACATAGCTTGCCCATAAGAAAAGTGGTGAGGATTTGAGTCTTTTCGACTAATTAGGAACTTAATGGTCTATGAAAGGACACTGCATCATAGTTTTTTTGCTCTATTTCTTCACAGATTTTCTCGAATGCGAACGAGGCCCACGTGGCTGAAGTTCTTCACCGACTTGGATTGGAGGACTGCTTTGATGATGTGATCTGTTTTGAGTCTCTGAATCCCCCAAACCAGAAAAACAGTGCTGATGATACTTCTAATTGTTGTGTTACCGAAACCGGTGATTTACTACCAACGAGTCCTATTATCTGTAAACCCTTTGAAAATTCTTTCCAACAGGCTTTCAAGATGGCAAACATCAACCCACACAAGACAGTGAGTCATCTTAGATTTTCGAAATCCATTTCCCATTTTTGTGTGGTAATTATTCATTAAACCGTTCAAAATTTTCGCATTTCAGATATTCTTTGATGACAGCATACGCAATATACAGACTGCAAAAGTCACGGGCCTCGACACTGTGTTGGTAAGTCAATTCTGCTGTGAATGTAAAATGTTGGTGGCTGCCGTTGCTGAACATTATATTGACGGTGTCTTTTAACAGGTTGGGTCATCGGAGCGTAAAAAAGGTGTGGATTACGCTTTAGAGAGCATCCATAACATCAGGGAAGCGCTGCCGGAGCTATGGGAATCGGTGATGAAGTCGAAGGATGTTTGCGATTCGCAGAAGATTGCAATCGAGACTAGTGTGAAAGCTTAGACATGATGCATGGAAGCGTTATTCTTCTAACCTTTTATGGCTCTAATATTGATGATGATGCCAATTTCAACAATCAACTATGTTGTTACCATCTTTGTACTATTGCGTGATTTAAAATGTTGAATGTGTAAATTATGAACTTCAAAATCGTTAAGAATTGTGTTGTTACAAGTTTAATTTATAGTGAATTACAAATATCGTCCTGCGGTTTCACTAATTTATTGGAAGTTACAAGAACCGTTATTGTGGTTTGTATGTCCCTAGCCATTAAAACAATTGTGTGTTTTTTCTTCTTTACATTAAGAGGGCCACATGGTAGCCATGTGAGGGCAATTTGGTAAAATTGCATTATTTCCGTATACAAGTTTGTAATACAAGTGTTAGAAGTATTTTTTTTTTTAAAAAAATCCCTTTCACTGATCCTCTGACTCTCGGTTGTTTTTGACTTTCTGATGTCAAAGGTGGAGGTTGAAGCCAGGAAAGAGGAGGCAGTCGTTGGATGATGGTATGATTTAGGGGTTTTTAATAGCCTTACAATTTTGTATATTAGATTTACAATCTTGTACATCCGACTTCATTACAAGCATTAATCGAAATGCCCCTCACATGACTAGCATATGAGCAGGGCCGGCCTTGGCCATAGGCCTAAGGGGCGACGGCCCAGGGCAACATAAAACCCAAGGGCATAAAAAATCCTAAAGCCCAATGTATATGTATATAGGTTCAGTTTTTATTTGGGCCTAAAAATATTACCGTTAGCCTTAGACCTTAGTTCGTTACCACTTACCAGTCCATGTCCATCATCCTCCGGTCTCGACTCTCGCTTCGCTCTGTCGTTCACTCTCAATAGAAATCGAAATCGCAATCGGCTGGCTCTCGCTCGACGCTCTCTCTCTATGCCTCTCTCGACTATCGACGGCCGTCTGCCGTCTGTGGCTGCCTCTCTCGTCCCGGGTCGCTCTCGCTCTCTGCCTCCCGGCGCCCACTCTCGCTCTCCGGCCTCCGCCCTTGGCCACTCGCCCGTCGCCCTCTCTCTTTGTGACCACTGACTTGTGTTGAGGTTAGGGATTTAACATTTAAGTCTTTAACTTAAGGTTATTATATTACTTATTTTATTTTATTTTTTAAGTTTTTAATTTTCTTTGATTGGAAAACCTAATAATGAAGTTATGAAACTAGCTTAGAAGCTGTGATTCTGTGAAATTGGTGAGTGGTGACTTGCTTTGTTGGACTATTTTAATTTGTTTGACTCACTGATTGTTTTTGTTTCATTTGTTACAAACCAGTGAAACCACAAAATTAGAATTTAGAAACAAATGACAACCATTTGTTAATGTTTTACAAATGCTTAATCTTATATTTAACACTTTAACTCAAGGGTTAGGGCTGTTTTACTGTTTTACAGATGTTTATGTTTTCTCGTTTATCAATTTATCCAGGTTGCTTAATAGTTCCACTTTCTTGGCAATTTCACAACACAAACCACTAAGTACCAAATCCATGTGTTATCTTTCTATTCTTTATATCATATATTTGTTTAACAATTTAACTACTTAAGTTATGTTGCCTCGATCACAACCATCGCGTGCTCAAAATAAGAAAAGAAAGAAAAGGCAATAAGAAATTGCTCAATCTGTACAAGGATCTCTAAATAAGTTTATTGTTAGACAATCAAATGTTTCTGAAAATGTTAGTGATAAAAATGAAAATGCTTGTGATGCAAATGGTAATGATAAAAATGAAATTACTTGTGATGAAAATGTTTGTGATGAAAATACTAGTGATAAAAATGAAAATGCTTGTGATACAAATGTTTTTTATGCAAATGAAAATGTTAATGATGAAAATGTTTGCGCTTGTGATGATGAAAACATTGATGATGCTTCTAGTGATGTTCGTTTGAATCTATTTGATCCAAGAATTTGGGATATGCTAAATTCTAAAATGAAAGATTTGCTTGTTGAAAAAAGGCCTATTAGGGAAACTAACATCAATTTCCCTAGAGATAATATAGGTAGACACTTCTCTGATGAATTTTATGTTCGTAAGTTACGCAATGGTGATTGTYATGATAAAAAGTGGTTAGTTTATTCAAAAGAGCTAGATAAAGTCTTTTGTTTTTGTTGCAAACTTTTCAAAGAAGGCCGGTCAAAAAGGCAATTAGCAAGTGTTGGATTAAGTGATTGAAAACATCTTGGTCAACGATTAAGCGCTCATGAAAATAGCATTGAGCATATGACTAGCTTGGGAATTTGGTCCGAATTGCAATTGAGATTGAGTAAAAATGAAACATTTGATAATGAGCTACAAGATTTAATAAAAAAGGATACTAATCATTGGAAAGAAGTTTTAGTTAGAATAATTGTTGTTAAATGTCTAGCAAAGAATAATATAGCTTTTCGTGGGAAAAATGAAAAACTTTTTGAAGGATACTGATCATATGAGGGTACTTCATGGCATAAGATAGCATATGTTAGGGAGACATTTTCTATAACAAAATGCAAACCACAACGATGGTCCTCATAGTTTCCAAAAGTTAGCAACAAATTGCAAAGTAATTTACTCTTTAGTTTATAGAAATCTTAAAACTTGAAAGTGCTAGAATTTAATCTCTTTTATATGCATTATACTAGAAAAGCTTTCGTACTTTTTATATTATATTAAACTTGCCGAACAGAAAAAACTCACCAATTTCTAAATATATAATAAACTAACTAATCATCATAACCTAATTTAATTAAGGGTTTGTATAAGAACACATGTATCAGGTAGCAAAATAAATGTTTATGATAGAAAAAAGTAAATATAAATGTTTATGATAGAAAAAAGTAAATACTTCAGAAAGAAATATATAATCATTATATTTTAATCAAGTAAATAGATAATGAATTTATTTATATTATAATTAATAATATAATTAAAAATCGACAATACGGAAGTACATATTGTTGGATTTGATTGGGTTGGAATGGTGTCTTTCTTATACATCTCTGTGTTATTAAAAAAATTGTAGAGAAGACTTCAACATTGGTTCCTTCTTACTTCAAAAAAAAAAAAAAAAACATTGGTTCCTTCTATGCAGATACAAGGAACCAACCAACGGATTTATAAAAATAGTGAAGATCGTATTAGATTCTTTTTATAGTAAAATTGTACCACTCCACTATTGAGAAAAGCTAGCAAGATTGTAATGTTGGCAAGAGCCACAGCAGAAACATGATCATAGGAATTAGACATACCACTTGCCTTTTGGCAATTAAGCTAGATTCAGGTCCACTGTTGCAAAGGATTTAGTAAAGGGATTGTTATACAATTTTCACTTGGTCAACAAGAATGGAACTATTCCCATCCACATAAAACAGATAGTACTTGTAAGAGGTGGGTGGTAGTCATAAAGGCATCCATTATGGTGTTAAAAGTGCAAGTCAAAATTTGATTCAACATAGAATTTAATGTCTGTCATGTGATGCATTGTCCAAGACAACTAGTACTACCCAACTAAACCTCCTCTTCCCTTGAATTCAAGATGATAATAGAAACCACCCCAATATCAAGGAAAATCTCAACACATTAATTAACCTACTTAAACTCTATACATCATAACCTCACCAAATATCAGCAGCATGCTTTTATGTACAATCCCAACACAAAATATAGCTTATCTGTTACATTTCACTACTACTCAAGAGTCAAGATCATGATTCTAATCAACCACTGACTGCATGCACAAATGTTTCTAAATCCATTCAACTTTCATAAAACACTGAGGTAACAACTACTAGTATCAATTAACAAATTTTAGAATAAGGTCACAAATTTAATCATCTAAGATTCTAAAGTCAAAGACCATACCTTTGATCAACTCAAAAGAGTTTCAAGCCTCCTAGGCTGGTACCCAACATGAAATAGCGTAAAGAATCCGCCCCTTCCATCCCTGTACAATCCATTTTCCATCTTCATCAAAAACAAAATCTTTGTGATACCCCGCCTTCACCTTACCTTTCACTTGGGAGACAAGCTCACGGTCCAGGCGTCTAGGCTTGAACCCAGCCCTTAAGTTTCGGACCTGCCACTGCTTGTAGGTCTCAGGCCGCTCCACCCTCTCTGGACCTTCACATGCAATCACATTCATAGCTTCACGCCCATAAAACGCCTTCTCAAAATTCTGTCTTTGTTCCTTCTTACGGTCTAATGTTGCATCAAGCATATCAAACAGAGAAGAGTAGTGAAAAAGGGCCTCCCTGAAGCGAGTAACAAAGAATGGAGCACTATAACAACCATTAACAACTGAATGAACAAAAATATCTGGTTTCATATCCCTAATCAACTTTAGAACCCCGTCTCTTGGACTATTTGCCACCACTGTCTCATCAAGCAAGTTCTCAAATCGACCAAGAGCATTCACAGCAAGGAACTCGTTTCTCTGGAGCTTCAGATCTTCAATTTTAATCATCTCCCAATTCTGGGCCGCTATAGACTCGTACTCAAACGAAACCTTAAATCGCTCACAGTAATTGGCCAACTGACGCCCTGTCTCCTCTACCCTCTCTGCTGGCCTAAAACCAGATTGGGGGAGGTCTACTCCAGTAATCCTAACTTTAGGTGGCCCACCAGGTCTGTTTGCCAGGTGCTTGATAAGGATGGGCCACTGAAAACCATACCCTATACCAAAGTCTACAATATGAAGGGTTGACGATGTTAGAGCTGTTTCGTAAATCGTTCTGTTAGCAAAGTAAAGCTCATTGCTCTTGAAAGGGCAAGCTGACATATAAGCCTGAAATGCTTTCAGTTTCTCGGCAGCTGAGACCCTCATGACCTTTTGAGATGCATAAAGCTGCGAACCAGTACCAGACAAGCGTGCCTCTAGACCAAGAGCAAACATATGAGCCAACCTCTGTGAAGCATTACCAGAAGGAGAAGCATGGTGTCTTATCTGTTTCAATTGTTCATTTGCAATCATATAATCATCAGCAGCAACAGATTGCGCACAGTTGAGCAACAGAGTTTTAACGTCGACACTGTCACTTGTAATAGCTGGCCCCCAAGAAGGAGCATTCCAGCCACTATAAACATGGCGCAAATTATTGCTCAAGTGATTAGGTGGGTCTCCGCAACCAGGCATAGGCTCACCTTTAGCATTAGTACAAAGAAGAATTCTGTCAAACATCTCAGACAACTCGGCTTCTTCCTCATAAACTGCAGACTGCTTGCTACTCCTTTCATCCTCATAATCATTATCCTCCAAATGATGATGCTTTCTTCCCCTGAACCCAATGGATGAGTTATCCATCTCAACCTTCTCCACTTTCACTGCAACCTCCAGAGAAGCATCAGTCGAATCCGATGGCAAGTCAAATTTACCCAAATCAATAAATAGAGGTTTACTAGGAGGAAGGAATTTACTGGCTTCTTCCATCCCTCTCTTGAATTGCAAGATAGACTCGCTATTGGTGAATATGTTTTGGGCCATTTGTGTGTTTATAAATGAATCCATTGTGTCATTAACATCATTAGTGAGTCTAGTGGTGTACCCAAAAGAAGGGTACTCACGTGAATGAGTTTGTGTAACTGAGGATTTGGTCTCAAATGAATCACTACTACCAAGCCATCGAGGATCAGTGAAATTGCTACCACTTGTACTGCTGTATGTACTGTACTCACTGGAACTTCCATAGAGGACCTCCTCCGGGCTTTCGACATTCGGGCCAAAGTTGAGAGGAGATGTTTGCAGAGTGAAAGGGTTATGGAACGTACTTTGCTTGCTTTCCATATCCTCTTCAACAAGAAACTCGTTTAGATACCTAGAAACACAATCAGCAAACTCGTCGGTAGAGTGCACTTGTGGAGGCATGCCTGGGAATGCATTGAGAGTAACAGGATCATGGTTGGGTGCAGGAGAAGGAAGATCTAAAAAGCTGAGATCCAAAGGTTCATCCCTGAATCTGTATCCAGTGGCAAGGGATGGAGAATGATCAAAGGTGGGCAAGATATTCTCATCATCCAATGCAAAACCATTGGTGTAATCAGAGAATCCGTGAAATCGTGACTCCATGACCATTTATCCTTCAACAGAATCTACCCAATATAAACTGAACCTCAACAAGCATGAAGGTTAAAGAATCCCAACTTTTGGTACCTAGATCAAGAAACGACAGGTAATTAGGTAAAGTTTTCAACTGAAACCTAGAAAAGATAACCCCATAAAGATAATATAGGTTGTATCACATGAGGCTCCAACATCAAGAACATAACCCCTAAGCATCAACGAAAAGAGAGACAAATAAGATTTTAAAAATAAGAAAAAGAGACAATCTGCAGGATCTATCCTCTATCCAAATTCGATTAAAATATTTGATTAAATAATAACATGGCAGATAAAGAAGAAGAAATTTTACAAATCTACATATTCCATATCATTCAAAATCAGTCACAAGAAAAGCAGCAAAATACATGAAACAACAGGCAGATCAATAGAATTGACGAAAACCCTAAAAAGAATTCCCAAATTCCTAGATGAAAATCAATCTATTGATGAAATAATCAAATAAAGAGGAGAAATCAGAGAGCAAATAAAAAAAAGAAGCAGCAAACCTTTGAAAGAGTTGCGTTAGGTTGAGAGAGTGAAGGAGGGAGTTGTACAACTATGGCATATGGGAAACTTATAGAAAGTGGAAGGAGAAGGACGTCGTCCTTTTGATAAGCGGCTAAGTACGCACCACATGGTTCCTAAAAATTGAAGAAGATTCTGGATATGATCAGCGTCCGTACGATCGGTATCAGTGGCATGTCACCGGCTGTTACGGTGGCAGGTAGCGCCGGTGGGGTCACGCGTTGAGTCTCTGTGGAACTGAAAGGACCATGAGTCCTAGTCATGGCCTTCAATGGACGCTTTTACACATTAGTTATCTTTCTAATCAATACTTTGTTTGATTTATTAGTTGTATAATTTATTTTCAAAAAGAATTAAAGTTTGTTTGTTTATTTTTTAATAGTTCTATTAAAAGGAAGCTTATTAATCGTCAAAAAATAAGTCTGTCTTTTAATGGTTTTAGAATTTTCTGAATGATTTTGTATCCTAAACCTCTTTCTTAATCATCCAGTGCCCTAATTTCATTGTAAACAATTATATTCCATTTTGCACCATATCATTAGAGTCACTTAATCATTTTGCACCAAACCATTTAGCAACTGTCAAAACACATCTCTAGAAATATTTTTAATGTGCAATTATTCGGTTCATATTTCTCAAAATCTTCCCAAAATACCTCTCTAGAAGTACAACTCTTTCATATAATCCCATAATTTTTTATCTTCAACGTGTAGCTCGATGGTTAAATGAGTGAAACGATTTTGTCTAAATACAAGACAAGTTCCAGATTCCACCTTAGCCCTGCCTCCTAACATCACTAGCCTTAGCTGCTGGTGGATCAGTTAAGGTTGCTAGTAATCAATTTTTACTTGTATAAACCATAATTTTTCCTCTTTTGAACGTCTATTTCTGTCTTTGCTGATGTTCGACAAGAATTTGTTAGAAGATCGACTTGCTTAATACAACAGTTCGACACAAATAAAGATGTATCGTGTTTAACTACAAGAGATGGTATAAATGATGAAAATGGCATAAGGTCAATAGAAGAATATAATCAAGAGCCAACTATGATGGAGACTCAAAATATAACAAAAACATGAGCGGAATACGACATAATTGAATAAAAAAATTGAACTAAATTGACCTCAATTGATGACTTTAATTACTATAATAAAAGATTGTAGCTATTTGTCTCTCATTGAAATTTTTGAAGAAACAATGTGAGTACAAGAAAAGATTTGTGAGTATTCCAAAGCAATACTTATGACGGAAACAATCAGGTGGTGTTAGATTTGTTGGAATCCGACGAAATATCGAGAAATTAAAATTGGGTCAATTTTGTTGACCAAAATTTGATTTATTATTTGGGTTTTGATGAAGAAATCGAATACCACATACGGTGGAATGTGGATTCATTCAGTTCTACCGAATGATTCAAATTATTTGATTCCATTCCATCCCACCACCATCGTTGTTGCCACCATCAGCCTTTACCATTGTCACCTTCACCTCCATCACCACTGTCACTAGTCATCACCGCCACCGCCACCACCACTACCGCCACTATTATATTGAAAGAACGAAACTGACATATTCAAATTATTTTGATAGATTTCATTTCTATTCCCGTCAATCAAACGCATGATCAAACATGATTTCAATCTCGACATATTTTATTATGTGAACTAAATATCACCTTTGTTTTTCTATGGTTGTTACTGTACAACAAAGAGGGAAGAGGGGGGAGGGGGGGATATTTTGGGCAAGATTTGAGAAAACAAATAATAAAAAGCATATATTATTGGGTAATTTACACCTTTTCACCCACTCCTTTATCTTCACATGTGTTTTAACAATTTTATATGAATTAAAAAAAAAATTAATCTTATGGAGAAGAATCTCGAGAACTGTAAACGTAGATTCCAAAAAAACCCCAACAAAACATCATATATTTACGGCCATGTTTTTAGTAATAATAATCTTGATGCCTATTTTTAGTAATGCTTATCTCTTTCTTTAATCTTATATGAATTCAGACAGTTATCAAGACATAGTCAATGATGTGACCATTTTTTCTATATTTTTCCAGATGTTGCTTTCTAATCTAAATGACAAAACGTTATATGAGTTGATAGCAATTTGCTAACAAAATATTTATTTCTTTTAATATAAAATAATTTAATTAACATGGATTAAACTAAGACGAAAGTTTGTACAAGAACGAGAGTTAATGTGAGAAACGCAATAAATGATCTGGATTTTTAATCATCTTTAATTTCAAACTCATCTATAAATAATGTTTGGTGTTGGGATTGATCTGATACTTCTTGATGTATGTCAATCTAATGTATATATCAAATGATGAAGATCTTTTCTTACGCTTCTCATTTTAAATATTTGTTTCTCACGTTAACCTAAGTCGTACATTAAATGTGTTGAATTGGGGTCAATGCATTTCTTTTGATACATCATTATTATTAGGTTTATATTATTTGGTTACATTGTCACATCTGATTTGATTATTGTACTTGTATTATTTTTTTTAAATGAATAAAAAAACAATGTAGGACAAAAATTCCATTTTTTAAAAGATGTCTAACAAAGATAGAAAATTAAAAGTAAATTATTCTCAATCTTCAAAAACTTCTCCACTTTCATATTAATTATATTTTATTAAAATATTAAATATTTATTTTCAAGTTTTTCATTGATAGAAAGAATAAAAAATAAATTTTCTTTTCTAAGTAATCATTTTTAAGGAGTTTTCTAAATTTAGAGAATTTTATCATCTCTCCTACTTTCTCTTTTTTGGAGAAAGTTTGGAGAATCTGATGGAATAAAAATCTTTAAAATCTTCATTTTAAAGAATCTATTGAAAACGCTCTTAAGATTTTAAAAACAACAGTCAGTCATTTTCACTGGGTAATATCAACTCCTAAATCACATTCATAAAAAATGATGTAAAAACCTAGTGCAAATAATAAAATATTGTCTAATAGATAACCGAGAAATATAAGATTTTTGGTATATCCTTTTTTATTTTTATTTTTCTAATTGGTGTAAAAATAATAATATTAGACTAAATTTGATGTGTCATTACATCAAATTTGATGTTTGGTGTAAGAGTTAATACCTCGTTTGAAGATAATCACATGTAGGGTGCGTTTGGTGTGCGGACAGGATAACTGTTCAGCGTTTGGTAAGACATGACATGACATGACAGAACTGGTTAAAATGATCAATTTATCCCCAGTGAGCTGTTTAGTATTTTTTCACTAAATAATAGATATAAATGTTCCAACTATATTCATCAATATGCATCTATTCTACATAAAACAGTAGTAGTAAGAATACTACTGGGAAATTAAAGCAATTACAAACAGATTACAACATATCATTAACCCTCCAGATACCATTTCTATAACTAAAACCATGGTTTTGTTTCTCTTCTCTTCATCTTAAATCTAAAATCTTAAATCCTTAATTAACAGGTGAAGAAGCTGCAACAGAGTACTATGATACATGGACATAGAGATAAATGGGATGATTTGGATATCAGTAACCAATGGTGGGAGTCATGGTGTTGAAAAAAGCAATCAGAAACAACAAACATGAATCAAAAACAACAAACAAAAATCAAAAACAGCAAACATGAATAAAAAACAGTAGCAAACAAAATCAGAAACATAATCAGGTGTTGTCGAGTTCTTCTAAATCAGTGGAAACATGAATCAAAAACCAGCAAACAAACATGAATCAGGTGCTGCCAAGTTCTTCTAAATCGAGTTATGCAAAATCGAGAAGGTCGATTACCTGAGAGTATGGAGAAAGGAGAAAGGGTGCGGTCGAGTGACGAAGGAGAGACGCCGCTGTCGAGTGATGAAGGAGAGGTGCCGCTGTCGAGTAATGAAGGAGACGATTGATGAAGAAGAAGGCCGATTGATGAAGGAGACGATTGATGAATCGGCGATTGATGAAGAAGAAGGCGCCGATTGATGAAGAAGAAGGACCGATTGATGAAGGAGAATCGTGTGCTGCGTATTAGGTCAAAGAGAGGGTAGATGGGTAAAATGTTTCTTGTTCTAGTTAGTTCCAGGGGGGAAGGGTGGACAACCATGTCCTACCCGTGTTCTACCTTGTTCTAGTTAGTCTCACATAAAGCCACACCAAACATGGGACAAATATGTTCTGTCATGTCCTGTTCCACCCTGTTCTGCCTACCAAACGCACCCGTATAGATCAAGGACGGACCTAGTAATTTTTTTCAAACGGTGACACCATTTGACTATAAGAAAAAACTATAGTGAAAAAATTTCAAACAGTGACACCGGTTGACTATAAGAAACAAATATACATAATTTTTTTTTCCATCAGTGACACTATTTGACTAAGAAAATACACTAACAAGATTTGAATTTGGGTCTTGAGTAGAATAAAAGGCTTGCAAACAAACTTTACCAAATAAAACTTGTTCTCATTATGGTTTCAAAATACATACGGTGGCACACAACAGATTAATATGGTTACACATTTCACGAACCTAATTTTTTTTACTCTTTGACGGAGAAATAATATGGTGGCACGGTGACACCACCATGGTAGATCCGCCCATGGTATAGATCTTCAAACTCAATAACATATTTTTTATTTTAATTCTTTCATAATTTTAATTTTAATTCTTTAAAATAATGATTAAGATAACAGACATTAAAGCTATGTTTTGTAAATTGACTTATAAGTTAGCTGGTAGCTGCTGAACAAATTATATTTGATAAAACTAGCTGACAAGAAGCTAAAATGATCAAAAAGGGCATTTTAAAAAATTAATCAATATAATCTTTTAAAATGCAATTAAAACAAATCTATAATAATATAATATATTAACTAATACAAACAAAAATGGTAAAAAAATTAAAAAATATGTAATATATTAATTAAAAGAATTTCAAAT